CTGTCCCTCAAGGCACAGTCCCTCATGACTTCCCTTGGGTAGGGGAGGGAGTTCCCCAACCTCTTGCACTTCCCTGGTGAGGCAACACCCCACCCACCCTGCTTCTGCTTGCCCTCTGTGGGCTGTACCCACTGTCCAACCAGTCTCAGTGAGATGAACTGGGTACCTGAGTTGGAAATGCAGAAATCACCTGCCTTCTGCATTGGTCTCACTGGGAGCTATAGATCAGAGCTGTTCCTATTCGGCCATCTTGCCCGGGGGCCCCTCTTTGATGAAATTCTTATCAGGACTCAGGCAAATGATCCTTTTGATATTAAGTTGATCTAAAAAAATACTATTTCTTTTAAAACTCTTAATGTCACCCATAACGGAATAGTGTGAAGTGTTGAACCATGGGGCAGAAAGTGCTTGTTGTTAAGTTACAGTGCATTCTTTTATTCTAAAAGGGCTTAAGTTTCGCCATAACATCTATTGACTGTGCTGTTCTGGGAAAATAACTACACATTTTTGAGCTTCACTTTCTTTCCAAATGGAAATTACATATTTCAAATGGTGAAAAATGTACTAATATTACCTGTACCCCACAGAAAATACAGCTATTTTATTTGCAAGATGCCATCAAGTATAAGATTCATGATTATTTCAGAGATAATAAAAAATAAAATTGTAAAATCGATAAAATATGGCAATACAAATGAGATGAGGATACAAAATAAGGCAATACATGTTAAAATGGCTTATAAACTAAATTTATAGGATATTAATTTTATACCCATAATCTTATATTTTAATATATATCTCCATAGATTGTTCTCTAAGATGCTTCATATATGAACTTTATGTCTCCCCAAAGACATGACAAACCATTTCAGGGAACATAATGTTTTGGTACTGACATAATGCCTAGCATAACAGTGCAACAACTACATACTATTCGTTCACATTTCGGATTCTGTGGAAAAAGTTAAAAAAAATGTAATGCTTACCTAAGCCTTACTACTTGAATATCTTGTATTATTAAAAAACAAAAAATGTTGCTACCCAATTTGATGTTCAACTGAAGCATTATGAATGAACATTAACCATGTTACATCTCCAATATTTAATTCTATCTCATATTTGTTCTGGGGAAACTGTATTGTGCATTTAACTGTTGAGATGCACTTCTCTATTTGTTTTATGTATTTCTCATTTCTAGCAAAATGAGACACTGACTGCTCTTTGCTCTACATTATATTTTTCAGAGTGTTCATACATCAAAGAGCATTAGAATATAGAAATATAGTTTCTCTCTTGAGGAGAAGACACGTTTGCTTCAAGTCTTGGAAGATAAAAATAATGACTCCTTTTCTCCAAAACAAAGAGAAGGCATGCTTACTGTTCAGTATAATAAAGATAATGTCTCTGTGATGGTTGATTTTATGTCAGCTTAACGGGGTTAAAGGATGCCTGGATAGCTCATAAGACATTAATTTTGGGTGTGTCTGTGAAGGTTTTTCTGGAAGAGATTAGCATTTGAATTGCCAAACTGAGTGTGGAAGATCCATCTTCACAAATTTAGGTGGGCATTATATAATTCATTGCTAGGTTGAATATAACAAAAAGGCAGAGGAGGGGCTAATTCTTTTTCTTCTTTAGTTGAAACATCCATCTTCTCCTATCCATGAACATCAGAGTTTCTCATTCTTGGGCCTTCATACCCCAGGACTTACACTAGTGGCCTTGAAGTTGTCCAGCTTTTGGCCTTGTACTAAAACACACCACAGATTTTTGTATTCTCCAGCTTGTAGACAGCTTATATTAGGACTTCCTGGCCTCCCTAATTATGTGAGTCTATTCCAAATAATCTCTGCTTATTTACCTATATATCCTATTGGCTCTGTTTCTCTGGAGAACACTGGTTAGTACAGTCTCTCTCCAGAAGACAGAGTAGCAAGCTTCAGGTCCCCTAAGGTCAGGGTTTCTTTGCTACATGCAACTATTATGTGTGCGTTTGTCACCTGGCTCTCTCTGTGTTGCCCTATGGGAACTGGGGATTTGGAAAATGTGCAAAATGCTAAGACCGTGTCTCTTGCTGTTGCTGTAAGTAATAAACTGTCCTTAACCTCTGACCCAATAGTCTTGTTTTTTCTATAACCATTCATGAAACTATGGCAGGTTAATTTGTTAGACTGCAAATATAGTAAACATTTTTTATTCTTTGCAGTTGTTAAAATTTTAATTTTCCAATTTTTACAATGAATTTAATGTGATTTATGTCTCAAAAACAAATTTGCACCTAAATTAGGTAACCAGAATTGCAGTTAGAAAAGATAGGGTTTAAAAAAAAGTGTTTTGAAGGTTTCCTCTCTTAGGCTTTTTAAAACAATAATAATTATTACAATTAAAAAAACTCATTTGGAATGTACTGTTGTTTCTTTTGGTAAAGTATATGGCACACCTGGGAGACAAAACTGATCCCTTTTTCTTTGTAGCAAACAATACAGTTGAATTTGTCTGCTGTCACTTCTATCTTTAGATAAAAACTCCTAATGTCCCTCTACGACAAATATTACATGTCTTTTTAGGATTTGATAACCACAATTATCTTGTGTTTTCCATAGGGCTTTGTTTTGTTTTGCTTTTTCCTAAAAACAGCTAAATAGTTAGTGGATATAAGTTAACCTGAAATACATTGTCACAAAATCTTTATTGTTATTATTAATTTACTTTTTATTGTAGCTATGAGCAGAGTTCAGGTTGCCCATCATACATTTATTCATTTTTCTGTAGCTGAGCAGTCAGCTACCAGGATTCCTACAAGGTTCCTGTTGCCCTTATGAACTATCAACTTAAATGGAACCAAACGATGCAAAGTCTAAGTCACACATATCCTTGATCAAGCAAAAAAAAAAAAAAATGATATGAAAACAAGCAATATGAATCAAAATAACTATTGATACTAAAATTCTCATTTCAGCCAAGGAACACTTTGTAAATTGATTTTATGGGATGTAAAATTACACATGGATCAAAGTAAATAACCACTAATGTCTCCTCCACATAGGTAAATAAATGAAGAATGCCATGCATTGTATCCCCACCTCATCTGGTGTGTTATATACATAGTTGTAAACCATAAGAATAGACATCCTCAATTAACCTTCAACCTTTAATGAGCTACCTATTTGCTTTTCACTGTGCCTCTCTGCGGCTAGAGAACTTTCCAATCATTTTCTCACTCTTTTACCTCCACAGGGAATATCTCTTCCTGTTTTTAATTTCCATGCCTCTAGAGTCTCCGTTATATTCAATCTCTCTAAGGTCCATTCACTTCTTGACACAGCTCCAAAAGCAGACTGGTTTATGGGGCTTCATACCCCAGAGTCAAAGATGCTCAAAGTATCTATTTGGATTTATTGTTACCAAACTAATTTTTGTAGGTGCTTGGGATCCAAAGCCGTCGCTAAAATATCTTCTATCTGTGGCATGAAATAGGCTTTTGCTAGTAAATTCTAAAACTTCCTGTGCAAAAGGAAAATACCCAACAGATGCTGTAGGATAAAATTCATAATTAAAATGGGGACTCTGATGAATGGCAAAGGGTTTGACAAAATATCTTTTCATCCTGGAATTTAATTTAACAATTTGATTCAAAGTACATGTCAAAATTATGTGGTTTCATAAAAATATATAATTGTTATTCACATTGTCTTTCCCTCAACATTAGTAGAAAACTGACTATCGAGGGTACTTATCATAGATTATTAATCTTCCTGGAAAGTCTTGTATAACAAGATTAGAAAATAGATCTATTGACTAAATACCTACTGTGTGCCAGGTACTTCACATATTTTATCTCTAACTCTCACAGCATTTTGCAGATGAAGACACAGAAAACTAGAAAGAATAAACATCTCTCACAATTTTAATGGAATTTTAATCTAACACCAAAAGTGGCGGCTTTGAAATAGAACACTGCACTTCACTTTTACGTTCTCACTACAAGCCAGTAAACTATAATTTATTAACTGAACTTTACAGACAAAAAAGTTAAAATAGGCACAGGGGTGTGCATATGGTCACACAGTATGTTCAAAGTAAACATTGCATTTAAACAAACCTTAAAAAATTAGGTTTGCTGAATTTTGGTCTTTCCACAAAAACTGTTTTCAAGTAAAATTGAATTCTGGGGATGTGTATTGCTTCTACTTTTAAATTCTGCCTTTCTAGTTATAATTCTTTTTTGTTCTTCCAAGTTATATGTATGTGAGTTATTTTTTCTCTCATAGTTGGGGTAAACATTATTTTCTAGACCTGAAGAGAAAAATAATGAATAATTTTAAAACAAATATAAAAACAAACGTTCAACTTTCAAAAGTAATAAATCCAGTTTGTTTTAAAATTTCTAGTAAATGACCTCCAGGTGAATGCTTATGGAAGAAAAGCTAATACATTTTAGGAGACCTGCACCTAAATCAAATGACCACTTAATGTCTTCATATGCTATCCATATAATCAGGAATTTGTTATGAGAAAATGTTAAAAAAATACATAAAGCTCACAAATTAATCATGCTGGTTTTCTCAAGATGTGATCCAGAGCTTTTCTTCTTTTGCCCTGAGTTAGGTGCAAGTTTTGTATGCACGTTTTATAGATATTTGCTGTGCTACCAATGTGCCAATTTGTGCTGTCGTCCTTGTTTCCCTGTACCTTAAATTATTAATGGCATATACTAATTCATAAAATTTAAATCATTAATAATTGGCATGCCACAATTTAGTCCATATATAGACTTCCAAAGTAGGATAAATTAATTTATATGAGTTCTATTCTTTTTCAGATTGTCTCCTGGCAGATGGATTAATATGACCTTATCTCATAACAAACCATTCTGAAAACTAGTAAAGATAAAATTTCATTTAATTATTAATTGTATAGACAGCCTGAATTTAATAATGATTCTGAGCTGCTCACATTTCTGAAAGCACTTTATTCTTCAAGCCATGGCATTGCCACAAACAATGACGAAGACAATAAATGAGAAGGTAAAGTTACATGCCACTGAAATCATAATTAGACTCTGACCTGGTTTTGATAGCAATTAAGTTCTACTCTTCTATTTTCTTCTTCTAAATAATGCAGATGTGCCTTTCTCTTCTTTTCATAAATATTCTTTAATATTTACTATTAAATGACGTCCTATACCACATGGCTCTAATCCAGGGGTATCACTAATGAGAACTTAATAGTTCTTAACAGTTTTCTATTTGCCAGTTCCAATGTCAACAACCTGCCCTGCCAGGTTAAACTGAATACAAATAACATGACCCTTGCCTTCTCTTTCCAAATAATGCACTGAAGCTGTTCGTTTTACCCTGAGGGGTTGAGGAGCAGGAAAATGTTAATTTGTTTCTTTACTGACAGCCCCTAAGGTTACATTACAGCAAAACCTGTCAAATGCACAGGATCCTTGTGATCTTGATAAATAACAGGGATTAGCCAGAATCTGAGGTTCAAAGGGGGAAAATAACTGAAGCTATTCTTAGAGGAAAATTTGGTGTAGAGTTAAGCGATGAACTGTGATACAATTCCTAGCCAATAAAATCAATCATTTTTTAATATCAGTGTGGCACCTTACAAAAATTCTGCCGGCCTGAAGTTAGTTCATAGTTCTGGCTGTTCTCCTAAAGTAGTTCTGTGGCCTGAATCTTAAACATGAGTCGGAGGAGGTCCCAGGTTCCTCTTTGGTGACTGACGAGTTTCTTCCACTTCTAAAATGTGCACAATTCTAATTAAGGCCACTAGTCTCTCCATGAAAAGAATGACACATTTAATAATTTCACAAAGTGCAGCAGGATAGAGGAGATAGAAGAGAATAATATTAAATGTACCTAAATCTGATGCTTATTAACTGTCGAAGTCAAATGCAAAGGTTTAAGCAAACTTGTTCCTCAGTGGCTTGAAAAAGTATAAAATCCAGCTTATTCAGAATATTTTGAGACAAACAGGTGCAGTAATATATTTTGAAGTAAAGTTAACATAATTTATTAATTGTTCATGGCATATGGAGTGCAATATTGAGGCAGAATTTTAAGGAGATACAAAACAGTTAGTAGAAAAGTTTTATGTTCTCAAAGCATATGGGAGAGGAAAATAAACAAATAAATAAAAGGACATGAAGTAGCACATTATCAAATGTAATTGTGTGTGGACAGTGCCTTTTTGTATATCATCATAGCAGCCATCATTTAACCCTAGTAACTCGTTTTATTAATCGGGGCCAACAAGAGTAATAGATTTTATTCATATCAATGAAGTAGAACATGTACGTGAATCCACTTGTTTGTACTTTTCCCTGTGTACACACATGGGGCTTTGCAAGTGAAAGTAAATAAATCTCAAACAATATGTCAAGGGTCTAGACAGATGAAGAAATAACTAATGAACATTTCAGCTGATCTAAGAGAGGCACCTTGCCTTGTGATGAAGAGAGTGGCTAAATAATTGGCTTTTCAGCGAAGAAACACTGACATCATTTTACCAACAACATAACAATGTTGATCAGTTGCTACCATGCTTTGAGTAACCTTAAGGTTAAAAAAAAAAGAGAGAGAGAGATTTTTAAATGTATCTACTTTTAAAACAAGGAAAATTACTGAGGGGAAGGAAAAAGATAACAGTTAAAATGTTCCTATTCAATGTTTAAAAAGAATTTCTGTGTTCAGCTTTCCCAAAGCCTACTTAGTTATAAGATGACAAAGAATATAAATTATCACAGCCAAAATCAACGTGTTATAAACTGTTATGGGATACTATGAATTTGTAATTTTACTAGCACACAAAGACATCAATAGGATTTGATTGAACAGTGTATATAGGGGCACTAGCAATCATAAATAAACCAATAGATTTTATGTTTCTACAAGTAAGTCATTTAAAGCCCCACCTCGTGGTGCGTTCAGTACTCACACACTTCTGTCTTGACAAAAGCTGGCTCTTGGGGGCTTTTTCCCTCCCTCTCTTAGCTCTTAGTGAATAGGCTTCTGCTGTCACCCATGTCTCTTCCTTCTGACCAGTTACTGATCCAAGACTCTATGCTACTATCACCACTTTTGTTGGAAATGTGACTTCATGTCTCTGTTCCTTTGTTTTTGAATCCACAAAATGATAAGTATGGACATAATCATTTCTGGAGAATCTCATGTTACTCAAAAACATTTTTCCTCCAAGTCATGAAGGTGAACATAAATGAAGTGATGTATTAGTCTGTTTTCACACTGCTATAAAGAAATACCCCAAACTGGATAATATCTAAAGGAAAGAGGTTTAATTGAATTCTCATGGTTCTGGATGGCTTGGGAGGCCTCAGGAAACTTACAGTCATAGTGGAAGGTGAAGAGGATGCAAGCACCTTCTTCACAAGGCAGTAGAAGAGAGAAGAATGAAGTAGGAAAGTCCAAACACTTATAAAACCATCAGATCTCGTGAGAACTCACTCACTATCATGAGAACAGCATGGGAGAATTGTCCCCATGGTCCAATCACCTCCCTCTCTTGACACATGGTTATTACAGGTCCCTCCCTTTACATGTGGGGATTACAATTCAAGATGAGATTTGGGTGGGGACACAGAGCCAAACCATATCAAGTGGCATTTTTAAAGTTTAAACTTTCTACCTTTACTTTAATTTTAAGTCTTAGAAAACACTGCTTTTTACTGATATTCAGTTTTATGATGAGTTTAAGTAGAAGGTGAATTTAATTTGGATTCACAACGGAGTTTTAAAGATATGTTTATTAAATTATGCTTACACATACATTGTCATTATGCTTTGATAACAGTTTTATTAGATTCCCTCAAAAGCTGTATAGAGTAAGAGAAATATTACTCACCAATTCCCAGAGTAAAATCAGTTCTCTCAGTGAGAATGGCTTCAAAGCAATTCAGCTCTGCTGAATCAAGCAAGTGCAGAGGATTGACTATAGTCCGTTATCAAAACAGCTGTTATGTTACACCATGAAGGATGGCAGCCCATGCTTATCACATTAGTGATAAAGGTCAGATTTTGTATTTTGAGACCCACTTGTGTATCTAGTAATAATGCCATTGTCAGTATCATTCATGAAAATGGAGAAAACCAGAAATTGTATTGAATGGATAATGCCATAGAAATAGCATTATCAAAGTAAAAAATATAAATTTAAGAAATAATTCTGTATATGTATTTAAAACAAATGGATATATTGTGAAACAGGATATCCAGCAAATACAGAGAAAAAACAAACTTTATAATTTTCAACAAGCGTTTTTGCTTGTTATAAACCCAGCATTTAACACCAGTGACCATTTTCATTTAAAACAAAGCAAAATGAAACAAAGAACTCTCAGAGTCACAAGACATCACTTAGCCCCTTATTAATGTTTGAAAGTAAAGTTGTATTTGCCCTTTCACTATTACTGTCTTTAGCTTTAACATCTGTAAAACAATCATAAAGTATATCTATAATCATCTTAGAACAGATATATAACACTTTATGTTCATATCAGTTTACAAACAAATTTTCATCCTAATAACAGATCTATAAATGGGGTTCACATTTGACATTTTTTATGTAAGATAACTTTTTTTTCTACTTAAGAACAGTAGCATTAAATATAAAAATAATAAAATATTCCAGGTAAGATTTTTTCACCTTATATCCTAAGTGTAATATTCTGAGGCATGCATGCTTAATCTGGTAATCTTGAATGATTGTGATCTACTGATGTTGGACTAAATACAATAAATTTACCATGGTCTATCAAGTTTTCATAGGTCTCATAAGACCTATGCAAGCAATTGACTGCTCTTTGCTCTGAACAATCTTTTAAACGATGCTTGTATTGAGAATTTTCTTTAAAAATAGAGTTAGATAGTGCCTCCCCCTAGAGCATATGCCAAGTGTGCCAACTGGCCACAGAATATTCAGATTCCTAAGGCCCATATTTTGTCATACGTCTCACTGAGTATGCATATGTCATCTGGCTCTCTTTATATAGCCGTGTGGAAATGGGACTCAGGAAACAGATACGAAAATATTTAGTATTCTAGCTGCTGCTATTCCTGTGAGCAATAAGCTGCCCTATTGCTATGAGTGATAAACTATCCTTTGACTCTGATCCACAAGTCTTGTGTCTTCTTCCAGCATCCATGAAACTGTGGCAGGCCAACTTGTCTGACAGTAGGTAAAATTTTAAAACCTACACAGATATTTGCAGAGAAGTCTCCCAAATTGTCTGCTAATTGATATTCTTAAGTTTAATGACAATCCTCATGCATTTAATAATTTATTGGTTGACTTATTTAAATTAAAGAAATTTACAGCCGCAGCTTTTTTTGCGTTAGATGTACTCCACTTCCTACAAATATTGATGCAACAATTTTCCTAAATTAGAATGGATTTAGATATTGGGTAGCTATAAGCAAATTAATTAGCATATTTATGTAAGAAAAGGAAGGAAGGAAGGAAGGAAGGAAGGAAGGAAGGGAGGGAGGAAGGAAGGAAGGAAGGGTGGGAGGGAGGGAGGGAAGGAAGGAAGGAAGAAAAAAGAGAAAGAACAAAAAGGAAAGAATTAAAGGAAGAAAGAATGAAAGAGAAAGAAAGAAAGAAAGAACAAAAGAAAGAAAGAAAGAAAGAAAGAAAGAAAGAAAGAAAGAAAGAAAGAAAGAAAGGGGGAAGGGAAGGGAGAAAGAGAGAGAGAGAGGAAGGAAGGAAGGGAGGGAAAGAAGAAAGAAAGAAAGAGAGAGAAAGAAAGAAAGAAAGAAAGAAAGAAAGAAAGAAAGAAAGAAAGAAAGAAAGAAAGAAAGAAAGGGGGAAGGGAAGGGAGAAAGAGAGAAAGAGAGGAAGGAAGGAAGGGAGGGAGGGAAAGAAGAAAGAAAGAAAGAAAGAAAGAAAGAAAGAAAGAAAGAAAGAAAGAAAGAAAGAAAGAGAAAGAAAGAAAGAAAGAAAGAAAGAAAGAAAGAAAGAAAGAAAGAAAGAAAGAAAGAAAAGGAAGGAAGGAAGG